CAGAGAGGTGCTGCAGCAAGACACACCAGCTCTCGAAGAAGACCGCAGCTTCTTCTGCTCCCGNGCTGCTGTTCTTACAGCATGATTGGCGTGCAGCTAGACACTGCAGCAGAAACAGACGGTTGCAGCAACTGCTGCTGCTGGCCGAAGCTAAGTTTAGGAATGCAGACTGCAGCAACAGCACAGGGGGGTTCCCGCTGCTGCTGCTGCTGCTATCTCTGCTGCTCCCGCTGCTGCTGCTGCTGCTGCTGCTGCTGCTGCTGCAGAGGAGGCGTGTGGGAGTTCAGGGGTGGATTATCCTGGTGGTGAGGAGGTGGGGTTTGTTGCTGAGGGGGTACCTTCTGCTGCTGCTTGTCGCCGGCTATGTCTTGCTGCTGCTGCAACTGCTGCTGCTGCTGCTGCTGCATCTGCTGCTGCTCCTGCTGCTGCTCCTGCTGCTGCTGCTGCTGGATGCACACACTACTTCTACTACAGCTCTGACCTTCTAGCTGAGGGCATCCGCGGCAGCTGCAGCCTGCGGCGGTACCCGCAGCTGACGCAGGAGGAGCTGCAGCAGCAGCTGCAGCAGGTTCAGCAGCAAAGAAAAAAAGAAAAAGAAATGAAACGCAGACAAAGGAGACAGAAACAGAAAGAAAAAAGAAAAAAAGAAGAATACGAGGCGCAGCAAAAGCAACAGAAACTGCAGCAGCAAGAGCAACAACAGAAGCGACAGCAACAGCAACAGCAGCAGCAAGAGAAGCTGAAACAGCAGCAAAAGCAGCAGCAGCAGCAGCAGCAGCAGCAGCAAGAGCAGCAGAGTAAGCAGAGCAAACGACCCCCACAGGAGCGCCACCAAGTAGGCATCCAATCAAAGCATGAGCAGCAGCAGCAACAGCAGCAGCAACAGCAGCAGCAACAGCAGCTGCAAGAGCAGCAGCAGCAGCTGGAGCCTCAGCAGCTACTGCAGCAGCAGCACCTCCAGCAGCAGCAGCAGCAGCAGCAGCAGAAGCTGCTGCAGCGAAGGCTATCGGTTGACTCAAGCACCGATGAGGAACCTGAAGAGGCATTAAAGGAAAAGAACAAAAGGAGGAGAGCAGCAACAGCAGCAGCAACAGCAGCAGCAGCTGCTGCTGTTGCTGCTGCAGCAGAAGCGACGGGCGCTGTAACGATAAAAACAAAAACAGCAGCAGGAGCAGCAGCAGCAGCAGCAGCAGCAG